TCTCTCTCTCTCTCTCCTCTCTCACTCTCTCTAAAAAAAAAAAAAAGAATTATAAAAGAATACATATAAACCAATTAGCATAGTCACTGGCACTTAGAAGGCAGCTGGTAAATGAGAAGTGAGGATCTAACCCAGGGGTGCTTACCACTGAGCTGTGCCTCCAGTTCTCTTCAATTGGTTTTGAGCCAGGGTCTCACTAAGTTGTTGAGGCTGACCTTGAACTTGTGATCCTTCTGCCTCAGCTGGCTGAATCASTGCATCACAGACCTCGCTGACATGCATTCTGTGTGTGTGCCTGTTTGAAAGGGGGTAAAGTATTTCCTCAAGGACAGCAGTTAAGTTTTGCATACATGCCCATGTTTTCAGTAACAAAACAACACGGTTTGCAAAAACGCACAAGGAATCACAATGTTATAGGCTTTAGTACAACAGGACCTATTAAATCATCTATTGAATAAAAAGTGTATTAAATAAAGAGAAGCCCTGAATAAAATGACTCAGAGGAAAGGTCACACATCTCACGTTGACTCACCATTTCAGTGGTAAGCAGGTCCGGGTTGTTTCCTCCATGCCCACTAAAAAATAAAAGGCAATGAGCTAGTGCACAAACTGGAAGGTGTTCTAGATAACCGGTTCTCCTTGCCTCCCTAAGGAAAAGCCTTATCTTTTCTTAAAAAGATATTTCTCATCCTGTCAAAATAATATTCGGTATAAGGCATCCTGGTCTCGTCTGAGGTCTGTATGAATGGAAATGTGAAAATTCCACATCATAACTGGTGTTGAACTTTCTACCCACTGTTGTCCCTTCCTACTTCTTAGGGTTGAGTGTGTCCCCCAAAAGATATGTAAGTCTTGACCTCCGGTTCCTGGGAATGTGCCCTTCTTTGGGAAGAGAATCTTTCCTGATGTATCAAGATGTTGGTTAAGATGAGGTCTGGCTGGAGTAGGGTGACCCCTAATCCAACGTGACTGGTGTCCTATGAGAAGGGTAGAAGACACACACACACACACRCAGGGAAGTCAACGTCATGTGAAGACAGACATACCTGTGCCATGCGGAGAGCGTCACGTGACCACAGAGATGGGAGGGAGGTGATAAAGCGCGGAGCACCAGKGATCGCGAGTAGCACGGAATGGAAGAGCGAGGCGTGAAAGGGGTTCTCTCCAGGAAGAACACAGCCCTGCTGACCCCCTGATTTCAGACTCTGGCCTCCAGAGCGCGAGACGGTGAATTTCTGCTGCGTCAAGCTCCCAGCTTGCGGCACTTCGCTGCGCTGCGCCAGCCCCAGGAAATGAACAGCCTTCCACGCGCCTGGCTGGGGGTGGATGTTGATCTGAGCAGGGTTTAATTCCCTGAAATTCTAACCTTTTAAAATTATAGCAAGCTACCTCTAAACACGAGGGGATTCCAATCATTCGTGTTCAGACTACACTGAGCCATAGTTGCTGCGGAAGACGTGCACAAGGTCAGGATCTCTGCAGCGCTGGCCCCACCTGGGCTGGGCAGAGTGGGGATTTTCCTCTGGTGGCTCCTGAAGCCTGGAACTGCCAGGTCATCTGCCGGCTTCTGTTTCCGTGTGGAGAACGTTCATTTAATCTGCAGATGCCTGAGCTTACACAGAAACTTCCAGACACCTGACACCTCTCTTCCCTCCTCCTCTGCCTTTTGCCAGCTGCCAGAAACTCTGCTTCTCTGTCCCCTCCCCTCTCTCCAGTGAAGAGTACGCGAAAGGCAGAGTATTGGGCTTTGAAATATTCTTGCTCCATTTGCATAAGCCCTGTTTAAATCCATGGCATGTCAACTCCGAATACTTGGGCTTAGGAAATGCTCAATCATCCTCTTGACTGAGTGCCTACAATCCATGGCAGATGCCAGCCCCTTCCGCAAAGGGCTTCCCTGGGCATCAAAATGCTTGTATTTAACGACAAAGCCACTAGGTGGAGCTCCGTTTAAAGTTGGACCCAAGGTCCTGATACTTCCCTTTGAGTATCAGGTAATCACAATCCCAGAACGAGGTGAGAAGCTCCAGGACAGATTGAGAAAATGGGTCCTTATCCTTAATGTCTGTCTTAATCTTCAGATTAGACAGAGCCTCCAGCCGCTTCCGTCATTAATAGTCTCATCTGTGATCAAGTACCCTCTACTCCCTCTTCAAGCTCACCCTATCCTAGGCATCATAATGATGGTGGAATGTGATGGACATTATTATCCAAAGTACATGTATGAAGACATCAATGGGTGTGACTCTGCTTTGTGTACAACCAGAGATATGAAAAATTGTACTGTATATGCATATATGAATTGTAATGCATTCCGCTGTCATCTATAAATGAAAAAATTAATAAAACATGTTTAAAAAAATGGGCAACCAGCAAAAGAAATGGTTCTCTGGAGGCTCTCAGGCTTAATGAAAGAGGTGATTTCCATCAGGGTGGGCCAGGCGCCTGATGAAGGCACCCTAGACACCTCACTGTGGCTGCCACCTGGCACTGGCTACACTGAGAGAACACTCTGTGCCCTTGAACAGCCTTCCGGAACACTCAGGGGACAGCCAGCTGAGAAGGACAGGAAGTGTTGACACCAAGACAGGACAAAGTGCATTTCCAGTTGAACCTGAAATGCTCAAGTCAGAGGAAAGGACCTAAGCCAGCTTCTCCTGTCAGAATCACTGTCAGTGACGAGCCAGGGAGTGCCAGGCCCAAACCAAAGGAGACTGAACAGTCAGGAATCTAAGGAGCTCTCTCAGGCTGCCCTGTTCCTTAAAAGAGACTTCCCCTTCATCTTGTCTACGGAAAAGTTGGCTTTTTCTCAGTGACAGCATTGCTATTGAAGACCAGCATCAAGAGCTTCCTCAGCTCCACCCCAGGTGCTATGATGAGCCTTGAAAACCACACAAACCTGGCAAAGGGCATGGCACATGGCAGGTCCTCAATTAATAGCCCTCTTTCCTCTTGCTGCTACTCTAAGATTGGAGGACTTCCACTAAGATGTTGCAAAATTTTCACACGTGTCACTGAAGCAAAGCTGCCAGATACCTTGGTATGGTTTTGTGCTGTATGTACAGTGGAACAAATCCTCTCATCTCCACCTCCACCATCTTCAAAGCAGAGTGTTGTTGTATGAATGATGGAGAAGGGAGCATGGGGGTCCCTGCTGCTCCAAATTTCCTGCTGAATGGCTCTAGGAAAAGAGCCCCCAAAGACAAAGTCAGATGTGCTGCATTTCCAGACCCACCTTGGCCATCAGCCCTTCAAAGGTGGGCTGCATTTTCGGAGCCATTCAAAGAGCCCTGGAAACAGATGAATCTGATGTCAAGCACTTTCAGTTTCCTTTTCTGTATCCCTTTCTTTCCTCTCTCATCAACACTGCAGCCCATTTTCCCTCTGTTTTTCTGTCCCAACTCCATCTCAGGCTAGGTGTGATGACGCCCACTGGTAGTCCAGGTGACTCCAGAGGCTGTGGCCGGAGGATCACAGGTACCAGACCAGCCTGGAAAATTTAGTGAGATTCTGTCTTAAAATAAAAACTAAAAAGGGCTGAGGATGTGACTCAATGGTAGAGTGTTCCTGGGTTCAATCCTCGGTACCAAAAAGGAAAAGAAAAGAAAATCTTGATCTCAGGGGAAAAATTTATCAGCAAATTGAAGGCCAGGAACACAGCCTCATTTTCTGTCTACCCAGCTTATTCCTCATTTATTCATCACCAAGAAGATGGTGGAAGTGTTTTAGAATCTTTGGGTACCCCTGAAACTTAGACCATATAACAGGGAATTCTTTTTTAAGGTTTGCAGTATTGGCAGCCTGAGAGTTCTTCTCCGAGTTTCAACACTATTCAGTCCTGTTTGTCTGCTGCACAGGGATCCTCAGGTACCCCCTTAAGTTGCCCTGAAACATGACTCTACTCTTCATTCCATCAACCCTAAAAGCTAATAGTATTGATATTCAGAATCATGGCTCACCCAGGAAATGCTACCCCCTTGGACATCCACCTTAAAAGTGATCCATTTAATTCTCAAAGACATCTGTGATGAAGAGAAAATAACCAGTGAGGCTTCTAAAATTGTGTGGTCAGGAGAGAGAGGTACATTGGTAGGAAGGTTGGGACCACTGTTAACTGCTTTGTACCTTCTGGAAGTCCAGAGTTTCAAGACAAAGACATTCTGTTTGGTCTTTCAACATCATGAAAGATGTTGAGTTTTGTTCCAGAGAGTAACTGACCAGAAACATAGTGTGATAGAAGTTCAGATACAAAGTTATATACACAGCATCCCCAAAAGTAAAGACAACTTGAAAAATCCTAAAATAATTCCCTCATATTCTCATGGTTGCTCCTGTATCAGAGGCCCTGGTGATGAGTTTTGCTAGTTGCAGAGACGGTCACCTTGCACATGGTAACAACTGTGTTTTGCCTTATTTCATGCACCATGCTTTTTCTTTTAAGCCCTAGGGCTGAATGTTCTCTCAGACGTGTGAATGCTAATGTACAGTAAAGAGGGGGGAATAGATGTTCATTGAATGAGACAAAGGGGAATAAAAGGAAGGGAGAGGGGATGGGAATAGGAAAGACAGTAGAATGAATCAGACATAACATTCCTATGCTCATATGTGAATACATGACCAGTGAAACTCCACATCATGTACAACCCCAAGGATGGGAAGTTATGCTCCAAGTATGTATGTCAAACTACATTCCACTGTCATGTATATATAAAAAGATTAAAAAAATTTAAGTATAGAAAAAGGTGACCCATACAACGAGGCAAAAAAAATTTTTTTAAGATTCCTCTTCTGTTTACAAATGAAAATATTGAGGTGCAGAGAGTAAATTGCCTAAGATTATTCAATTAGTAAGCAACAGAACTAGGATTAACAAAATTAGACCCATTTTACCTCCAGACCCATGCCTACTCCAGTATATCATGCAGCATTCAGGATAAGGAGCCAGGGCAAGAGAGCATGGAAGGCAAAGGGGAAGAAACTTAAATTCCTGGGAGAAAAGCTGGAAGAGACCGGGAAGAAGGTTGCAAAGATGAATCACCTGTCTTAGCAGAGCTAGTCTTGGGTTGAAATAAATCTAGAAGTGGAAGTTCACCTTTCTACCCGAAGGTAACTATAGTTATCAAGGTAACTCTACCCAATGAGATTCAGCAAACTCCTTTTGTTAGCCAAGAAAAGAATCGGATAGTAAATATCTGCCCTTTGATAAAGGTAACCATGGAAATATGAGTATCAATGTTGGTGTGAAATTATATATCGTTATTATTCTTTTGATAGAAGCCAATGTCCCCTTCAGTTGGCAGAACTCCCCAGAATGCTGTGTTTGCTCTAGCATTGAACCTCGTGTAATTAACACCTAGACTGAAATGTTTTTAATGACTCCCTGCCCTGAGCAAAATTACTTTTGGTAAATAATCACAAAATTAAACAAATGATAATAATGGCAGGGAAGGAAATGCAGACTGTGAAATTTTTCTTGTGTTAAACTTCGTGTGTGTAATCCTGGCAGATAAAGAAGGAAATGGTATGTTACCCAAATGAACAAAAAAAGTAAATAGTTTAAAACCACACTCATATGTTTTCTGAGAAAAGGAGGAAAATTTCTACCTATGTGTTGGTGATAAATAGAAAGTTTTAGCTTTTGGCTTTGAGACTTCTGCAGATTTTCTTAATGATTTTATAAATGTTGCTTTTATATGCGTATTCATATTCTGGCAGTACAGCCATATTTACCAAACTATTTTCACTTATCACTGATGGAAGAATATTTTTCATTAATTTTAACTTCTGAAGTTTTCTTTCCCCTGTAGCAAGACACATACAAAGAGTTAAGAAAAATCTTAAGCATGAAGATAAATGTGGCAGAGAGCCATTACAGTTCATGTCACAACAAATTCCGGAAACAGCAATACAATTCATGCCTTTGTTTCTCCGGGATCTATCCTAGCAGCTTTCAAATATCTTCACATTGGAAGGCTTTCCCTCCCTCCCCCTAAAAACCCCATCACCAGGAAACTTATGGTAGATTTTTCTTTTGTAAAAAAATCAGAGAAAGCAGCTGAATGACAGCAAAACAGAACTTGAATCATTGCATTCTTGTTCTGTTCCTGGTAAAATCGATTGAGGTTTCAAATGCTGTTCCTCAGATTTCTTCTATGAAAGACTGGCCCCTTGGTCATTTCTCCTAACATTTCCTCTTCGTTTGTTGGTTCTCTTTTTAATGTAACTTGCTATTTCCCCACTTTTCCCCATCTTCAGCAGAAGTCACAGCTCCCTCTACAATTTCTTTGAGCTAATCTTCAACAAACAATTCTATTTCATTTTATCTTTTTATTGGTGTGTACGTGTGTGTGTGTGTGTGTGAGAGAGAGAGAGAGAGAGAGCGAGAGAGAGAGAGAGAGAGAGAGAGAATGAATATGTTGCTGGGAATTGAACCCAGGGCCTCACACATGCTCTACCACTGAGCTACACCCCCAACCCAAAGGAACAATTTTAAACTTTGGTGTACCTGTTTGGATTAGACAGCTTTCCTTTACTATAACAAAATACCCAAGGAAAGCAACTCACAAGGAGGAAAGGTTTATTTTGGCTCATGTTTTCAGAGGTTTTAGTCTTTAGTCAGTTGGCTCCCTTGCCTTTAGACCAATGAAGGCACACCAAATCACAGAAGGAGCACTAATTAGAACACAGCTGCTCTCATGGCAGCCAGGAAGTGAAAGAGAGGTGAATGCTCTGGTCAAGAGCACACCCCCAGTGTCCTCCTGCTAGGCCCCACCTCTGAAAGGTGGAGGTTTCCTCCCAATAGCACCACAGGCTGGTGACCACGCCTTTTTACATGGGCTTTGGGGGAACATTTGTCCAAACCATAATACAGTTCAGGACATATTCTGGCAGTCGGAGGTATTT